GGGAGGGGCGGCTGGCCGCGGTCCGGGTTCGAGGCCCGAACGCCCGTAGCCGCAGCGGTTTCTGGGTCCCCGGCGTCCACAGTGGGGAGGGGTGGGGGGACGCCGCGGATTCGGTCCAAACGCAGCACGCGTTGGTCCACTTCGCACCGCAGCCCCTGGGGCGCGCGGACGCTTCTTGTCATCTTACAAACGGGGACGGTGAGGCCGCAAGGGAGCGCCAGGCTCTATCCACGCGCCAGGTGCTGCAGCTGGGCAGGGACGCTGGGCTTATGAGGGGGGTGTCTTTGGGTCCAAGTTACTGCAGGGGAAACTGAGGCAGAGGACCAGCCAGGACTTGGACCCCAAAGCCAGAATTCCTTCCGGCCGAGGCTGCCATCCAGTCCCCCTTCATTAGTAGACTCACCAGGCACTCCCACCCAGCTCAGGGTGGAGAAATCACTCTGTCCTAATAGGGTGCACATGGCGGGGGGGCCTTGTGTGGCCTCCGTTCCCCCACCTGCAGCCGGAGAGCTTTGCAGGGTTGGCTGCAGGGGAGAGCTGTTAACTGGGAAGGTAAAAGGATGGGCAGTACCAAGGCGGCCAGCAGGGGAGGAGTGAGGACAGCACAGATCGGACCCCCCTCATGATAAGGGAGCGTGGGAACCCAGCGGGTGGGCGGGGCCGGCTGCCCCAGGAACTTTCCAAAACAAGCGGCCGGAAAGTTTCCACCACTGGAGCTGGCCCAGAAGGTGGATAGTTGGGAACATTTGCAGAAAAGACCATCAGGGCCAGGCCTTGGGGGAGTGCGGGCTCCAAGGCTCCATCTTCAGGCCTTGCCCTGAAGGGGACCCCATCTGAGGGAGTGGACTGGGGCACCCCAGCTGGAGGGAACTCACAGGCAGGCTTCCCAGAGAAGTAGCTGCTGGAAGGGGTTTTGAGATATGAAGAGGAGTTCACAGTGCAAACGGCAGGCTGGGCCACCTAAACCGCCCGGCCAATGCAGGTGAAAAGGCAGCCAAGTGGAAGGGTCAGTGAGGCAATTTGGGGACTGGGGCAGATCCTCGGGGCTGGGAACGAGGGGGTGTGGTATATATAATAAACACTTGGTCCTTATCCCTGGTTCCTAGCTGTACATTGTGTTCAGTCACCAATGGCCAATGACATGCTTTAATGAGACTGTCAGGGCTCAGAACATAATATCTCAAAGTTGGCACTTTGTCATGTTAAATACTTGAACTAAAGGAGACTGGAAGGCCTCAGAAGTAAGGTCTCTTGCCCTTTGTTCCCCGAAGCAAGTCATAGAAGCCCCAAGGTGGGTTACAGAAACCAGAGCCCCTTGCCCCCAAAGCAAGCCATAAAACCTTGAAAGGCCACTCTCTTCTCCCTTCACCTCCATTCCAGAGGGTCCTGCCCCATGCCCAGGAGAAAGGAACGCTGCACAGAGAGGCTGAGAAGAATCCAAACAGACAAGCCTTGCTGGGTTTCCCCGCTCAGTCTGTCACCGTTAGATTGTTCCCTTTGTCTACTCACATTCCTACGTGGCTCTCCATTCTTCTTCGAACCTGAGCAGAGAAACGGAGTTTTCCCTGGGTCTCTGTGTCTTCATTGCGAAGGCTCCCGCTGCACGTAAATCTTTGATTAAATCAACTTGTTTTGCTTTTCTCTTGTTAACCTGTCTTTTGTTACAGGAGTGTTGGCTGTGACCCTTATGATGATGGGAAAGGAAAGGAATCACTTTCCTGCCCCTACAAGCCCTCCATAAAAACCCTAAACGATGGGATTTGGGTGGCGACATCCCTGCCCTGCCCCGCCCCAGGTGTGTATCTCCATCTGGCGATCAGCGTTTTCTGGATTCCATGAGCTGCTCTAGCAAATCATCAAACCTGAGGTGAGGGTCTTGGGAACTGCCAACTTATAGCCTACTGGTCAGAAGCACGGGTGGCAGGCAGTCTTGTGGCACTGAATCCCTTACCTTGTGCATCTGATGCTAACTCTGGGAGTGGAGTTGAACTGCTGGACACCCAGCAGTTTGGAGAATCAAAGAATGAAGAGAATTAAAGAATCTCAGACGGAGCTTGTGCCCCGAGGCCACGTGTGCCTCGGTGGGAATGTGTACAGACTGGTGGGAACGTGTACAGACGAGAGAGATGAGGGCGGCCCCAATGCCCAGCCTTGGGGAGTGAGCATTAACAGCATGGGGGCTGGGAAGTGGGGCGTCAGGGGCTGGGCGGCCTCCAGTCCTGGCAGGTGGTGATGGCAGGGGCCACCGGTTGCCAAGGCCAAGGTGAGGGGCTCCAGGTGTGTGTGTGCTGCTGGGCTGAGCAATTAGTGATCAGGCACCCCTGCCCTTCACCAGACCACAGGCCTCCTGAAGGCAGGGATGGGGTCATCCCAGTACCTGCTGTGTACCAAAGCCCAGGCGGAGCTCGGCGCATAGGAGGGGCTATGGGAACAGGCACTCATGGAAGGAGGACAATCGAGAATGTGGTCCAGCAAGTGGTGCCCAGGTCACCGGGGTGGGAAGACCCTCAGGAAGGATGGCTGGGGGACTGACTGTGGCCTTGGTGGACTGTGGGAATGATGGCCAGGGTGCTGCTAGGCATTCTGTTTAGGACTAGCAGCTGAGGGAAGCAAGGACAGAGGATGGAAGCATGTGATGGCCCTAGGCTGTGGGGACAGAGACGTTATCTCCTGGAAGAATAGCATGGCCAGGCTGTCCTGGGAGCAGGGTACACTCTGCCTCACCGGGCCTCCCAGGCCTCTCCTCCTGGGCCCCTTGGATTCCTGGGCAGCCACCAAGGCCGCTGGCCAGCAAGGAGGCCAAGACTCACAGGCCACTGACCCCTTGACCCCTCCCTTCACGGTCTTATTGTGGTTTTCCTTTAGGAAATAAACGACTGACCCCCACCTTATCCTTGGAGGGCAGAACCATTGCCCGGCGTTCTCCACGCCTCCTGCCTGCATCTCCTCACCTGGAACACAGGACAAGGATGGTCATCCCCACAGGTGACACAGGGAATGCCTGGCTCCAGTGTGCCAGTCTGGGAGGAACAGGCAATAAAATACTGCCATCTCCTGCTACTACTGTGTTCTTCAGAGGGCGGGCGAGTCACAGCCTATTTATCCCAGCACAATCCCACCCAGCCCCACACCCCACCTGGCCCCACTCCTGTAGGCTTTGCCCACCCTGTCCACGCCAGGGGGCACTGCTGTGCTCACACATCTGCTGTAGCTCCCCACTGCCCCCACCTGGCCCAAATTGCCTCCCCAGTCTCTTCCTACCTACGATCGGGCTGTCCGGCCCCCTGCCCTGGCACCTGCAGGGCCCTCCACTTTGGTCTTCATTCCTGGGCGACAGCTCAGGTGGGCTACAAAGGGCTCCATCTCCACCCAGTCCAAACCCAGGCCCCTGCATACCCTCTCTTCATCACCATGGTGGCCCTAGGCCAAGTCACCTCCACACCTTGGCCCATCTGCACCACAGGACCAGGGGCTCCCTGGCGTCACTACAGAAACCCTGCTGTGACATACACACCAGCCAAGCAGCCTGGGCTGCTGGGTTCAGTTCAGTGAAATTTATTGTAGGTTGAAAAAATCAGCATTCACCTGTTTAGTGTACAAAAAGGACACTAGATCTTTTAAGAAAATACTGGGAAACTGAAGACATGATGCCTTTCAATTGTAACGTTTTGGCAAAAGTGAAAAGTTCTTGTAAACACCAACTCCATGGCTCAAAATAGTTTTTCTCCACAGTACAACATTAAAAGGAAAAACAAAACAAAACAAAAAAACGGTATCAATAAGTTAGACCATATTTAATCAGCTAGAACTTCTGTCCATCAACCCCCGAAGCTCAAAACTTGCCTTAGCTTCATAATTCCTTAAAAGGAGAAAAAAACAAAAAATAACAACAGAAAGGCTAATTCAACAAGAGTCCCCTGAACTGGCTCCCTGGCTGGGACCTCCTTGAATAACCCCATCTCACCCCAAGTCTGCATCTCTGGCTGCTGCATCCCATCCGCGACTCTGACTCTGCAGAACTCTTGCCCCCTAGAGCCTGCTCAGCCCGCCCCCCACCCGTGCCCAGTGAAAAACAAAACAGCTATTGAAACATGAAGGAGCAGTTTCCTCAGAGAGCTGGGAACCCCAGGGGTCTCAAAGTAAAGAGACTTTGGGGTGGGCGGGGCAGAGACACACTGTAGGTGTCTCCATGCGGGTGCCAGTCTTTAGAAGTCATTAGGAGACACTCCCATGGTTTAGAAAAATAGACCTATCTGACTTGCGGGTTTCTGCTCTCCCTGCCTCACTAGTGCTGGCAGCAGCGACCCCTGGCTCTGGATCACAGCCACCCCCCACCGCCTTCCCAATCATGGCTTTGCTTGGCCCTGAATGAGAACACGCACCTCAGACCCACCACACCCTGGTGGGTCCCCATGTACACACACACACGCACGCACTCACCACATGCATGGCCTCCTGATGCTTTGGGGGACACTAGGGGACTAGGCACAGCAACAAAGCAGCAATTGGGGTGTCTGCAGAGCGTGCGCCCCCAGAGCGGGCAGATCTGGGCGCCATCCTCAGGCTCCCCCAGCTCTGCCCATGGCCCCTCTGGCCCCTCCCTGAGTGCAAACCCGGTGGTGGCTCTGCTAGGACAACCCCGGGACCCACGAGTGGACTGACGGATGGGCGAGGTCAGCAGCACTGAGACCACATGGTCCCCACTGTGCGAAATGAAAAGCAGCAGCAAAAGGAGAAACTGAGGACATGGTAAAGTAAAATCTGCTGCTGCTGCTGCAGAATTTGAGCTTGTAGCACAGAAACACCCTTAGTGGCCCCTGACAGATGAAGGCCTGAAATAGCAGGGCAGGCCTAGTGGGCCATTCTGTCCCCCTGCTCCAAGCAGCTGCTCCAGGGGCCAGCTGGACTCCTCCACACACAAGCTGGAGGGGCTGCCCCCGCCCACCCCCTTTGTTTCATAACGAAGACCTTGCCCAGTTAAGGGGGGGCGGTGGGGGTCCAGACACCTCCCCCCGCCCCACCCCCAACACGGATTCTCCCCAGGAGCTCTCAAGAACAACGCTGTACCTTCTGATGGCATCTGTAATACTGCAGAAAGGACACAGGGCGGCATCTAGACCCTGGGCGTCCAAGGACAGGGAGGCACAGGTTTAGAAAAAGGATTTTGCTTTCTCTTTTGTACAAAAATAGACTCAAGTCTCATTAGCGGTAGCTAAAAGTGGCTGTCTTTGTATAAAACTAGAAAAGACGGGCAGGCCAGCTCGGAGTCTTCCGGCAAGAGAGGAAGCTGAAGCCCCTCAGACTGCAGCGGGTGAGGAGGTGGGCTTCCACAGGAGCCCAGGCAGGGGCTGTTCAGGAGGTGCAGGGAGGCGGGGGTGGGCTCGAGGCCGCGTGGCAGGAGGGCTGAGCCTACCCCACTGGGCGAGAGGTCTGCAGGGGCTCCCCTGAAAGCCGGCAGTGCTGGCTCAGATGAGTGTCTTCGTCGTGTTTATTCTGTTAAATAAATCTCCTCCTCCCCGTCCTGCACTCCCACCCGCAGCTCCCTGACATCCAGAAGGCCGCCTGGAGGCGGGCGGGTGGGCGGGCTAGGGCCAGGCCCGCAGCTGGTGCTGGTCATACTCAGCGATGCGCCTCTTGATGTGGGCCAGCTTGCTGTGCAGGTACTCGCAGCGCTGTTTCTCCTGGCCGTAGTTGGTGTTGGTCTGTGGGAGAGCGGCGTCACGTGCACCCCCCCTGCAGGCCAGCACCCATGGCACAACCACCCCCTGGGACCAGAACCCTCCACGCTGAACACTTGGTGGCAGAAGATTGGGGGGGGGCGCGGGGGGAGGCAGGACACCTTGGCCTCTCACCCAAAGGCTTCTCCCCTTGACTTTGGAGGGAGCCAGAAAGGGCTCCACAAAAGGGCTCCAAAGCAGAGCTAGGGGTGGGGGTGCCCATGCTGCCAGGACGGGCCCACTACTCTGTGTAAGGGGATGACGACAAAAGGGATCGAGTCCTTCCCCCTCCTGTGGCTGCCCAACGTGGGAGACTCACCTTTTTAATTTTTCGATATTCCTGCAAAATCTGCCCACGGGTAGTCTGCAGGGCAAACAAAAGAGATAAGAGGTAGCACCCCCGCCTGCAAGAAACCCAGATTTGGCACCCTCTGTCCCTGCACAGACACTCTGCAATGTGGCAGGAAGAGGGATGGGGTTAGCAGGGTGGCCTCAGGCACAAGCTGCAGACAGTGGAGGGAAGAGCCAAGCAGTGCCCCAGATGTCCACAGTGGGGCAGAGCCCACGGGATCGGGAGCCTCAGAGGCTGGAGGCCGTGAAGAGCAGGCAAAATGGCCGCCCTCGCACTTCGCACCTCGCTGGGCCTGAGTGCTGTTCTGGGGGCGCCTACGTGGGGGGAGGCAGCAGATGCCCTAGGAACTCATCTGTTGAAGACCCTCAGAACCCCCCTCCCCCGACTCCTCCCATCATGAGCCGTCTCTTCTGGAAACCACACGGGCCTCTGCTGGTGGTGGGGGGAACAGAACCCGACACCTTGAACAATCAGAGCCCAGGCCTGCAGTCAGGTAACCAGCTCTAACAAGTGGGGAGGTAGTGTCCGGGGGCTGGTGACTGAGAGTGAAGACCCTCCCCTCACACAGGGCAGCTTGGGGAACCTGTGTGCCTGACACAGAAGACCAATGAACTCCTGGTCCCACGGACCACAGGGACCCACTCGCAGGCCACAGCCTCCCACTGCAGCACTGATGGGCCCTAGCGTGCTGAATGGGACTCAGCTATGGGGTGAGGGACTGGCCCTCCCCTCCTCTCCTCCCAGGCCTGTGGCACTGGTACTGAGCCCAGAGCCCTGGGCTGCAAGATGACACCGGGTGCTCTTGCACATGGGGATCCCATGCACCCCCTGCACCCCAGCACATCCCCCACCCGAGAAGATGGGTCACGACTGTCCCCACTGCAAAGGAGGCCAAGCTGGGCCACCTGTGAGGACTCCCACAACAGAGTCCATGGCCGGGCCTGAACCATGGGACCAGCAAGGTGCTGGCACCTGCTGCATGAAGTGCTGCTCTCAACCCTCGACTCTGGGCCTCCCTGGGGAGGGGTGGAAGGGCCAGGCTCTGGGGCCACCAAGCTGGGTTGGAGGCTTGTAGTGGCTTGGTGGCAGTGGCCATCCACTCACAGACCCCAGGGTGTGGCATGGTGGCGGCAGAGGAGCTCACCTCGTACTCCGTGGAGCCCTGGGAGAGCTGCTTGAGCTGGGCATCAAGCTGCGTGAACCGCCGCGTGACCCGCTCGATGCGGGCATGCAGGTCGCGGTACTCGCTGTACTCGGCATTGAAGTCATTCTTGTAGCTCTGGCGTTGCTCCGAGGACGAGATGGCTGCATATTTTCTGAGAAGGTGACAGAGGGACTGTTGGGGGGCCACTGGGTTGAGGCCAGAAGTGGCCATGGCCAAGTGGCCAGCCCCACCCAGACAGTGGCCTGTCCTGGCTCCCACAGCTCCCTGGCCTCACAGGTAATTTCCTGGCTTACACAGGAACCAGGCCCAAAACAGGCTGTGTTGTCTGGAATTCACCAACACACACTTGGACTTAGCTCTGCCTCCGCTAACCTGCAGTGCTGGGGGACCGGAAGTCCAGCCCCAGAAAAAGCAAGCAGCAGCTACAAAGAGCTGCCACACAAGAACTCACAGCAAGTAGTCAGGCGTCTCTGACGTGGACGTGGGAACGGTGGAGCTGCTGCAGGTGCCATTCAAACCTGCAAGAGTAAAGGCCCACCTCCTGAGTTCAGCATGGGTGCCAGTCTGCAGGAAGCCTGCTGGGATGGGCAGACAGGCCAAGCTGCATAATTTGCTGTTTGGCAGACATGGAGGGACGGCAGAGGGGAGGCGGGACAGGAGGAGGAGGTGGGAGGGCCAGCCACCATGGGGCCCACTGGACCTGGGAGCCCTGTGGCCCATCCCTGGGAATGGTCTCAGGTGGCATGCCGAGCACAGTGCACGTGCCTGCCTGTCCAGGCCAAAGTTGTGCAGAGCACACAGCTTCCCAGACATTGCTGTGGTCGCATTTTCAGTAAGCAGCTAACAGGATGGGTTACTTGCAGGGCCTAAGCCTGCACAACTCATCCAAAGCTTGACACAAGTGAGGTCTCTGCTGAGTCTGCTGGCCCTGTGTAAAAGGTCACTGAGCCGAAAACAAACAGCCCCTGGCCTGACCCGGATCCTGGGGTGCCCCAGTCTCTGGCCACACAGGACAGGGACAGACAGCTAACCAGACTTGCACCTCTCACTGCTGATGGCGTTGCAGAGTCCTGCTAGCTCCGGACCTCGGTCGGATCCCCACCCAGATCCTGCCCTTCTTCCCACAGGACGCTGGACTGCAGGCGCCACAGGGCAGCCCCTGCACAGGCTCAGGCTGGAGGAGCCACACTGCTCAGCTGCCCACCCAGCAGAGCACAAGGCCATGGGACTGTCAACAACGTTTGGTCCTTCTGAGCAGAAGGGGCCTGTCCAAGGTCGCATTGTAGATAGCCAGATGGCCCTCAGTGGCTGTCCTGCTCCTCAGTCACCCGGTGGGCTGCCCTGGCCACATCACATGACACCCCAGAGCATGTGGAAACCGGGGAGGGGGAGAAGTGAGGCGCCCCTCACCCCAGCCCCTGCTCCCACGGCCACAGTTTTCCTGGGGCCTTCTTCCCAGGGCTCTTTTTTCATCCAATACAGAAAAGATTTTATCACTTTACAGTACATCCTCAGGACATGTTTTCGAGTCCCTCTGTGCTGTTCCTTCCAAGTGGGGAGCAGTCCACCCAGCAGACCTCCAGCTTGCCCCTGCGGCAGGACTCCCATGAATGGGCAGAGAAACGCTTTCCACCCCCCACCAAGAGGCTCAAGCACCCGTGCTGTAAGCCATGCATGGCCGTCAGTATCATCGTCACCATTCCCCACCACCCTCCACCCCCAAGGTGTTTTTAAAAGGCTGTGGCCTCCATGGGGCCACAACCCAGTGGGCACATATGAAATGGGACTGCTGATTCTGGCTCTGGGCCTGAAGGAAGGACCCAGCAGAGGCGTTTACCACGGCCAAGTGCACACTCCCACCACACACGCGTGACATAGCTGGCCTCCCTGGTGCTCTGGAATGGGTCACTGCTGTGTGCGGGGACTAGTAAGATCTCCACTGGGTAGGATAACAAATGAGGAAACTGAGGCTCATGGTCAGATCAACTTGGCACCCAGGTGACCTTTGAGGTCCAGCCCAGGGCAAACCTCTGCGGCCCCTGCCCCTGTTCAGCTGCTGGCTGTATGCGGCTGGCGGAGCGGGCCCCTCTGGAAATGGCCTAGAACCACTGCTCTCCCCACCTGTCCATCCTCTTCACAGCCCCAGTCTCTCCACCTGCTTGTCCGCTGCCTCCCCTAGCAGAGGACACGAGACCTACCCTATGCACGCGCCACCTGTGAGGCTCTGGGTGAGATGAGTCACCAGCACCAGGCACGGCTTCTGATACCTCAGCTGTCCTCCTCCTGTTGCTAGGGCATCTGTTCCCTGGTCAGAGCAGGCGCTCAGGGGGTTAGGCCCCTTCTCCCCCAGCTGGCCCACTGTGCAGGTCGGTAGAAGCTAGGAAGCCCAGCATGAGGCAGGACAGGCCCGATTGTGAGACCCTCCTCTCTACCCAAAGAGACCTGGCCACAGCTGTGTGAGGACCTGCTCAATGGCCTGGATAGGGGAGAGGGAGGCGCAGCCTTTCTGGAGGGCAGCTGGGAAGCTCACAACAAAACAGTAACAAGAGGGTCTCCCACCCTAGCCCAGGAGTGCCCCCTTCTTGGGATCCTCCTGGGGAAACTACCCAGCGGTGGCGACCGTCACGTGCAGGACCGCTGCCCTCCACCCCAGGCAGCTGCAGTTTTATTGCTCCTCCATGCCGATTAATTTGAATTAGCAGCCGAGAGTAGCTCCTGGCTACTGTGTTGGACAAGCCACCACTGGCTCCGCTCAGGTGCCTGGGGCTGTGAACTTGGGGCTGCCCGGGCTCTGGTGTTGATGACTGCCCCCAACACAAACAGAAACCCCTACTGCCAGCCCTGTCTCTCTTGGGAACACCCTGCCTGTCCACGGCATCCCCAGCAGCCCTATACTGCTGCTCCTATTCCAGAGTCTCCCTGCCCAGGGCATGGCTGGGCCAGCCTCAAACTCCCACGTCCTGCTGCTGGGGTCCCAGGTCTCCCAGCTTTCACTTGGCTTTCCAGCCCCACCATGACCCTGTACAGCCCCCAAGACCCCTCTCTGCAGGCTAAAACCTACACTCAGCAGATCACGCAAGGCCCATGGAGGCCCTCTCATGCCAGCTCACCTGCCGTGTACCTCCCTGGGTAGGGCCAGCTGCCTTCCCTGAGCCCCAGCACACCTTGGCTCTCTCCTGGTGTCTGGGGCCCCTGCAGCCAGAGCTGTCGCCTGGAATTTATTCCTCTCAGTGTGCATTAGCCCATACCCCCTGCCTCGCTTCCCACTGGGCTCTGGGTCCCTGGCCCCCAGAGCTGGCCTGGCCCACAGCGAGGTGCCAGCAGCACAGGGCCTGGACCACGGGGCCTCCTAAGGCTCGCGCTCCAGAGGGGCAGCCAGACAAGCAGATGCAAGAACACAGGGTGCCAAGTTGCTGGATGTGCAAGTTGCCCTGAAGAGGGCTGAGGGGGTAGTCAGGCCCCGCTCCCTAGGCCTCCTTCTTTCTATACCTCCTTGATACTCCTTGCAAGTGAGGGTGGCATGGGACTTGTGCTCAGGATTCAGCAGCTCCTCCTGCAGAGCCCCCCTGCCCAGGCCTGCCTCTTGTCACCTACCTGGGGCGTCTGGCGGGGTTCCCTGGGTGGTGGGTGCACTGTCTGACGGCCGGGCCCATTGCCTGTCCTCAGCTGCCCGCTCCTTGTCTTTGTGCTTCTTAGACTTTTTCTTGGACTTGCCGCCATGGGGCCTGCTGGGTTGGGCACAGTCTGACAGGAGGGGCAGACCCAGGCACGTGGCAGGGGCTGGGGTGGCCGCCTCCCCGTGCTCATAGTCCCGGCTGTGGCCCAGGTCATTGCTGACGTCCGTCAGGGGGTCATGGGCCCGTGGGGGCTCCAGCCTCAGGGGCAGGTGGGTACTGGAGCCGATGGTGTCCACAGCCCCCAGCGGGCCCGGTGTGGGCAGCAGGGCCTCACGGCCATTGGGCGTGCTCAGCTTCCCGTTGATGGCAGGTTGGGCTCTCTGGGTGAAGTGTGATACTCTGGGCTTCTTGTGGGCCAGGGGGTCGATGAAATCAGGAGGCTGTGGCCGTTTCTGTGAAAGAACAAACACAGTTTTAGGGGAGAGCTGGGGAGTGACTGGGCGGCAACAGGAGGACCCTTTGCCTATGCAAGATCAGGCCATCCCAGCCATCCAGGCCCCCCAGGAAACCCAGAAGGTTCTCAGGGCCCACAGTGGCCACATGGGGGCAGCCAGACACCGAGCCAGACCCTCAGCACCCAGAGCATCGCCTGCTGGGTGGGCTCAGCCCCGGGGCCCCACCCCAACACTTCATGCAGGAAAAGGGCAGCCGGGGTGGAGAGTGGACCTGACTCCAGACTGTGAGGCCACCTCCAGGTACTGGTCCAAAGGGTTGCTGTGATCTGCATGTGCCCTCCCCCCGCAGTGACAGCCAAGTCACAGGAGCCGGGAGGCTGAGGGACATGGAGCAATGCCATGGCTAGGAGCCATCCCACCTCCCAGGCTCTGCTCCACCAGTGATATGGGTGCGTGGTGGCCACCCTGGCAGGAACCCAGCCTCCAAGTCCAGCTGCCCCCGTCACTGGGCTGCTACAGGGACAGCTCAGATGCTTCACGGTGACCAAAGTGACAATGGTGACACAGCACAAGGCGCTCTGCAGGTGCTCGAGATGGTCACCCCAGGCCAGGATGCCCACAGCAAAAGCAGGCAAGGGTGTCCCTGAGCATGGCTCAATGGGGCAGGTAGACAAGGTACCAGGATGGAACCCGCTGGCTCAAGGGTGTGACCCCCTGAGAAGTAGCCCCAAGTGTTCCCATCCTGCACCCCCCACATCTGGCCCTCCCACCTGGGGGGGCGAGGTGGAGCTCCCATGCTCTCTGGGAGGGCTGGAGGCAGCAGGGTTGCCGAGGAGGCTGCCCGTGCTCTGCGGCTGGCACAGCTTCCTGCGAAGGAAAAGCAGGGGTGGGTCAGGGGACTCTGCAGCAGCATCTGCGTGGAGCCTGGGTAAGGATGCCTCAGTGGGGGACATGCCGCTCCAAGGACACTGGAGGATCCTGCGAGCCCGGGCTGAGAACACAGCAATACACTCATCCAAAACGACTTCTGCACTCAGCGTCCTTCTGCCCCCAGAGGAGGGTCAGCTGGCCGCCCACTCATTTAGATGCCTGTTCCTGTGGAGACCAGAGGCACATAAAACTGACCCAACATTCAGGGTATGTGCTTTGTCCCTGAAAGGGACACCGGGCCCCTACTTTTGCAGAGCACTGTTAATCCTGCTAATAATGCTCACTGCAGAAACTTCACAAAATGCAGGCAAGAGCTCAGGTGCCCCGGGCCAGAGGTATGGTCTCAGGAGGAGCCCAGGTCACAGCACAACCTAGAAAATGGCAGGGCAGCCACCAGGCCACCAGGATCGACAGAATGGTGCAGCCAGGGACCAGGGAAGAGACAAGCCTAAGCACACCCCTGACCCCTCCCCCACGTGAGACAGGCAAGCAGAGGCCCCGATGATAACTCTGCAGCTTGAGGGCCCTTTGTCTCCGATCCACCTCTCAAACTCCCAGGGGCTGCGTGTCTCATGGGAGCCCAGGAGGCCAGCGCCCTCCACAGCCCGCAGGGAGGCTCAGGCCTGGGGCCACAGAGCGCTACATGTGCTGCTCTATGGATCAGCCACCAGCTAGCGACGTCCACAGCCCTGACCACCAGCCTCAGCGCCAAACCACAGCTGCTGTCCCCCACAGCAGCCCAAGAGGCAAGGAGCCCCACATGGAAATACAGAGATCCCAGTTAAAGACAGAAAACCGAGGACAGGCATTTATGTCCACACTCAAGCCCCCACTAAAATGGTGATGTGGGTTCCATGGTCCCCCAAAGTTCAGTTGTGTGAAACTTAACTCCCACTGTGACAGCATTAAGAGGGTGGGAAATCCTATTCTGGTAATTGAAAAGTGGGGCCTTGAAGGGGTGATTAGATTGTAGGACCATGCCCCAGTGAAAGGAGTCTAATGGTGGTGGTTTAATGGTGGTCATGGGCATGGCTCTAATGGCTTTTAAAGGAGAGCATGTGAGGAGCTCACTCTCTCTCTGCTCCTGCCATATTCACCATGTGACACTCTGTGTCACTGTAGAGTCCTCACCAGAAGAAGGCCCTCACCACATGGGGTCCCTGGACTTTGCACTTCTAAGCCTCCAAAACCATAAGCAATAAATTTTATTTCTTTATAAATTACCCAGTTTCAGGTACTTCTGTTATAAGCAGCAGAGGTGGACTAATACAAATGGCATGGCAGAGGAGGGCAGACAGAGACCGACGGTGGCATCTGAAAGCTGGAAGCAGAAGCCTAAGAGGTAACTGTCTAATAGCACCTGAGGAAATGGAGTCCAAGGCTGCAGAGGCCTGTAAGCCAGGGGCGTCAGAGGACAGGCTCCTGCCTGCTCAGCTGTCCCCGCCAGGCCCACTCCGAGTCCTGGTCACTGTTGAAGACACATCTAGCTGCAAAGGAGCTTAGGCCCCTCCTCCAGGTGGCCAGGAAGCTGCTCAGGCCACACCTGGACAACAGGACGGACAGGAGAGTGGCCTCAGGAGAAGAGGAAACAGAGGACTGGGACACCCAGGGGAACCAGGGACTCCTCAGCAGCCCTCCTGGACAAAGTCGAGCTGCCCAGAGAAACATCCCCAAGGGGTTGCACTGGGACTTCAGACAAGTGTCAGACCTCAAAACAGCAGACAAGAAAGTGCATTTGAAAAGCATGACAGAGAAACTCCATAAGGTGATGAAAACTTTAAAAAGTAAACCAACAAAAACACCAGCTTTAATACCCTTAGAAAGACAAAGGACTTGAATAGACATTTTTGCAAAGACAAACAAGTGGCCAGTAGGCACATGAAAAGATGCTCAGCATCACCAGTCATCAGGGAAATGCAAACTAAAACCATGAAGAGATGCCACCACAAACCCTCCAGGATGGCTAGGATAAAAAAAACCAGAAACCAACCATTGGCAAGGCTGTGGGGAAACTGATGCCTTTGTGCACTGCTGGTGGGACTGTAAGATGATATGCCGGTTGTAGATAGGACTACAGGTTCCTCAGAAGTGAGACACAAAACTGCCACATGACCTTGCAATTCCACTCCTTGGTGTACACTTGAGAGAAATGAACACCTACGTGCACACAAATCCTTGCACACAAATGTTCACGGCAACAATACTGACAACAGCCAAAAGGAGGAAACAACCCAAGAGTCCCTACGAGGTGATCTGAGTAATGTAGGAGCCCCAGCGGCCCCTCCACAGATGAGTGAGCGGGGGTGGGCCTCAAAGCCTGCAGGATGTGGTCTCTGGTCTGCCCAACCCAGGGGCTATTTGGCTGCAGTTTAACAGTATTCAAACTAACCACGAAATGTCTACTGACACGCCTCTGTATGCACGCACCTGGCAGCAGTGAAAACCTACGTCCATGCAAACATTTGTATGTGCGTGTTTGCAGCAGCACCATTCACATCTGGCAAAAGGGGGAAACAGCCAAATGCTCATCACCAGATGAATGGATAAACCAAATGTGGTCCATCCACACAGTGGAATATTATGTAGCCATGAAAAGGAATGAAGCCCTGACACACGCTAAAACATGGATGGACCTTGAAATCATCACACTGAGAGAAGCCAGACACCAAAGGCCACACAGTGTGAGACTCCATTTACATGAAATGTCCACAACAGGCAAATCCAGAGACAGATAGCAGATTGGTGGTCACCAGGGGCTGGGGGAGGGGAATGGGGTGTGACTGCTGATAAGCAGGATTTTTTTTTTTCTTTTAGGAGGGGATGAGAATGTTCTGCAACTAGACAGAGGTGGTGGCTGTGTGACTTTGTGAATGTGTCAAATGCCACTGAGTTGTTCATTTTCAATGACTGACTTGTGTTATGTGAATTGTTTAACAATAAAGCTGGGCTTTTGTTTTTGTTTTTTTAATTCCTTAGAGAGAGTAGATTAAAATGACATCACTTCCATGAACTAAGAACGTGATGCTACAAAAGAGCAGCAGGAAAGACTCTCGAAAACTAGAAATGATTGCAAGACAAAGATGGGATGGAAAAATCAAACAAATCGCCCAAAGGAGAGAAGAGAGAGAAAAACAATCTGGCATGATAACAAAAAAACCCTGCTCTGACCAGGTCAGCTAAATTGCAGTGCCTTAGGAAAGCAGGGATAAGTCAGCAGTAACCTCCACATGCCCTGGAAAACGTCACCATAAGACCAATTTTACTGAGAAGCAGACAAGATGGCACCGGAAAGTCATAAAATAATCTGGAGTGCTTCTTGTGACCTTTACCATGCAGGGTGTAACCTAGTAATCATCCCAAATCCATACATCACCTACAAGCAGTAGAAAAGCTGACGTGGTGACTGGAGAGGGCTGTCCTCTCTCTCCCCTTCATCCTTCCCCTTCTTGAGATTGTAAAATGCCACACTCTGCTGGCCTCTCCAGAGCGCATTTTCCCTGGGAGACCTGACTACGCATTTCCCCAGCGGTGACTGTTCAGCCTCAGCTTCTTTTAGGTCAGCGAGGGGCACAGCCCCCCAAGGCAGAATTGG